ATATATATATATATATATTATACATATATATACATATACACATATACCTATACAAACATAACAAATACATGTATCAATCATATACTCAATATACCCGAAGATTGCATTTGTTAGGATGTTGGTAGTGGCTTTCGTGTAATGCAAGGTTTCATGATTTCACTCTTGAACTCACATCTTCGTTTTCCCCATTTGTCTCCATATACGTCTGTCGCAATACTGAAAGGTCAATTTGATTAAATTAGCATATCGTTACACGCCGATACACCTAATAACCCAGTGTGTAAACACAAAGAGAGGGCACAGATTAAAAAACTAGCTTCTCGTCTTGCTCTTGGCCTTCGGCGTACCGCTCTCATTGTTTTCTATGGCATGTTGACATAGGCACCGGGAAATGACGAACACGCTGACGACCACCACGCCCTCTTCTGTGCAGTTGCTATACACTCGCGAATTGGTTTCGTTATGTGCCAAAAAAACAAGCGCACCTGCACAGCCAGTGTCGAGCGTTCCTGCTTCTCCCTGTGAGGGTTTACAACGGGTGTGAGAGGGGCGGGGGAGAGACAAGAGACACGATTAAACGAGAGGTGAAGCCTCACGTAATAGCCGTAAATAAGCCGTGATATATATATATATATACATATATATATATTACGGCTGGCGGATACGTGCGCTCGGTTGGGTCGTGATTTGATGCGTAACGATGAATGCCTTCAGATGTATGAATATTTAACTAAGCGCATCGAGCCGTCGGCGCACTAGGCCGGCATAGTCGACCGACCGACGGTCGGTGGTAAATGACGCTGGCGTGGAGTCGCGATTTATTCCGCAGCGAAAGCGAGTTGAGCGCGCGCGCGTAATGGGCTCATCGAGTCATCATCTTGTGGCGTGATTTGTGGCGTGTGCAGAGCGGCGGCCGCGATCGACGACGACCATGATTTATGCGGCTGCGGGGTCACGGTGCGGTCACCGTGTAGATGCATCATGATGCGTCATCCGATAGACAACGAAGACATCAAGGCGTTGCCAATATCCTATCTTGATGTGTACGATCGTTGTGTAATTGTGCGTGCGCGTGCGTATGCGCGAGTGCGTGTCCGTTCACGCGCACGCACACATGTACGCGCGTACAAAGAAACACACACACACACACACACACACACACACACACACACACAAACACACACACACACACACACACACACACACACACACACACACACACACACACAACACACACACATATGCACACATATATATACATATATATAAAATAATATAATATAATGTTAAATATAAGAATACGCATATAAACGCTGATGTAAAAAGTGCTGATGAGATGTCATTCGCGAAGCTCGAGTCTCGGTATACCACGTCGTTGGCGTGTTTCGCGGTCCGGGCAGCCGAGGCGGTGGCGTAGTACCGACGTTGCCACCCCGGATGCCGCCCCCGCTGCTGCTGACGCTGACGGTGACGGAGACGGTGACGGTATACAGTGTTTAGGTATTTGATTTAAAATTTTGCTCTAATCACGCGCGCGACCCGGAACCGCTGGCAGTATTTGCACTGGAAAACACGCGCCACGGCAGCGCACGCACGCACGCACACACACCGACGCACACACATTTCTATAATTATATATATATATATATATATATA